CTCCCCCCCCCCCCCTGCGTAGGGGCCCTCCTGCCTCTCTGGCTACTGGCAGGGAACTGCCTCTGGCCTCAACTCCTGGGCTTTATAAGGGCCAGGCCCTGCCCCCTCTGGTCAGCTGACCTTCCCTGGTTGCCCTGGCAACCCACATCTGTGCTCCTTAGTCACTGCTAGGGCTCCTTCCCTAGCAGTTTTCCCTTCTTCAGGCACAGGGCACCTGAGTGCTCTGTGACACCACCCCTTGTAGGCAACTGGCACACCCATGGACTGGGTGCAATAGGAGATACCTGGAGCCCCCACTAGCTGGTGTTATATTGGACATGGGGATGCTCTGGCTTTCCCCAACAGCCCATTGAGCTGCAGCTGCTTCTGGGTTGTGGTGCATTGGGGGCTGGGGATACAGGGATCTCTGGCCCTATACCAATGTGGGGGTCATGCCAGCAGTGCTGGAAGAAGACTGAGGTGCAGAGGGGTCTTGACAGAGCCCATGGGCCATAGAGGAACTAGCCTGCCTGGCTCTTCATCCCCATCTATCACTCAGGAAGTTCACCCATCACTCAAAGATAAAGATACAATAACAAACTTAATTCACAATAGCAATTTAAAATCACTGCATTAAAACATAAAATAAAATGACTGCTATACTCATACCAAAAATTACTGATTTATACTAAAGCTTAATTAAATGAAATATTATTAAAACAAATACAAATTAATTTAAAAACAAATAAACCAATGCTGGTTCAACAATAGAGAAGGGTATACCGGTACTGGGGCTGGTTTTGTTCAATATCTTCATCGACCTGGAAGATGGCATACAGTACACCCTCAGCAAGTATGCAGATGACACCAAGCTGGGCGGGGGGAGTAGTAGATATACTGGAGGGTAGGGCTAGGATTCAAAGTGACCCAGACACATTGGAGGATTGGGCCAAAAGGAATCTCATGAGGTTCAACGGGGACGAGTGCAAAGTCCTGCACTTAAGACAGAACAATCCCATACACCATTACAGGCTGGGGGCTGACTGGCTGGGCAGCAACTCTGCAGGAAAGGACCTGGGGGTTACAGTGGACAAACTCAATGAGCCAGCAGCTTGCCAATGTTGCTGAGAAGGCTAACAGTATCCTGGGCTGCACTGGTAGGAGCACTGCCAGTAGATCAAGGGAAGTGATTCAGCACTGGTGGGGCCACATCTGGAGTCCTGTGTTCAGCTTTGGGCCACCCACTAAAGAAAGGATGTGGACAAATTGGAGAGTCCACCAGAGGGCAACAGAAATGTTGATGGGACTGGGGGGGCATGACTTAGGAGGACAGACTTAAGGAACTGGGCTTATTTAGTCTAGAGAAGAGACAGAGGGGACTTAATAGCAGCCTTCAACTACCTGAAGGCAGGGTTCAAAAGAGTATGGAGCTGGCCTGTTCTCAGTGGTGGTAGATGACAGAACAAGAAACAAGGGTCTCAATTTGCAGGAAGGGAAGTTTAGGTTAAATATTAGGAAGAATTTTCTCAATACAAGGGTATAAAAACACTAGAACATGTTACCCAGAGGGTTGTGGAATCTCTGCCCTTGGCTGGGATGATCTAGCTGGGGATGGTCCTACTTTGAGCAGTGGCTGGACTAAATGTGACCTCCTAAAGCCCCTTCTGTGAAAAAAATCTGCCCCAGCCTCCTGCCTTAAGGATTTTTTTTCTTTCCTTTCCCTTTTCTTTGTTATCTCACGAGTCTGTCAACCTGGTTGCCCTGGGTTACTCTGTACATGACCTAACTCAGGTATGAGGATGTGGAATTAACCTCCCTATTGTTTGAAGCTCTGATCTCATGACACGGGGGCAGGGGCTTAAGCCCTTATCACAGTTACCTAATGGAGTGACATTTCTCAAATTGATTGGCCAGACTCAAATAACACCTATTCCTGACTGGGTCCAGGTGAGATCAGGATGGCTATTTAAGAGGGTCTCTCCAGGAAGGAGGTCAGACATTTTTAAAACACACACAGAGAAATGTGAACCTCCGTACCTCTTTCATGCTCAGGATGCAAAAGTAAGTAACTTACCAGAAACCTAACTAGCTCAGTTTAATGTACTCTAGTCACGTTCAAAAGGCCGACAAGCTACCTAGATTTACTTAACATAGGTTTTCCTTCTATATTTTGCTGTTGGTATTCCTTCCCCCCCATCCCTCTTGATTCAATAAATCTGTTTTAACACGTCTCACTGGGTGTGTTTAAGAGGGAAGGGACACGCTAAGGTAGGCTCAGCTTTTTACTTTCCCTCGGCACAGGAGGCTGCAGGTAAGTGCTTCAGGCCTATATTAGCACCCCAAAATCCTGAAGTCTACAGGGCCTGTGTATTCTGGGCGGCACAGGGCCCAGACAAAGACTTGAGTCCAGGTGGTGGCGGTGGTACCCCAGGCTTGGAGGTGTGCTCCAGGAAGGGGGTTGGTTGGGCTTAGGCATCCCAGGGGAGACACTCGGAGCTTGTTTTTTTGCCGGGCACAGCAAGGCAGGCGGCTCAGCGCAAGAGCATCTCCTACTGGCCCACCACACCTTCCACCCCTAATTTTCTATGGTTCTATGATGTAGAGCAAGGGGGGCAGCCGGCACCTCATGATGCAGCATTCTGATAAGGTGCTGAGAAGCAAAACCCGCCAAGCTGGGCTTATTGGGCGGCAGTAGCAGTTTCTTGATGGGAATCTGCAGGCCTGGGAGAGGGGTGATGTGGTGAGAAGGAAATGCAAAGTCAGGTTGCTTGGAAGCAAGGAATGCTTCCCCAGCCATAAATGTCCTCCTTCCTACAACTTAAGAACATAACATACCAAACCCTGGGACCAGGAGGGAGGACAAAGCTGGAAAGCAACCAAAGAAAGTCCCTGGGGGTCATTTAGAGCCAGTTGTCTTGGGGTAGGCACCCTATTGTGAAGGCACTTCTTTTCCCCCAGGGAGCACTGACTGCTGTAAGAGAATGACGGGGATGGCACAGATTCCAAGGCTGACACAAAGATCATCTCCTCAAAGGTTCCCTAAGCATCTGGGCTGGCCTCTGCATGAGGTGTTGCCCTTTAACCCCTCCCCCATAGCAAAGTCTGGGGGCCAGCCTCTGTGTCCTTTGGGTTTTGCAATGCCCTAGAAGGGATGAACAATGGGTGAATTCTTGCTGCAGTCCATCAGCATGAGGCTGGTTGCCTGGATGCAGACACTGGTAGGTGCTGAGCAGGTATACGCCCCCAAGCCCTTTCTGCATTGCTGGCAGAATTATGGATGGTCCTGGATATGGATGCATTTTTGCTAGGTCAGTTTGGAGGAGTGGGGGAAGCACTTTCCACACTAGAAGCACTGATGTGGCTTATCCCCCATGTGGACAAACTGGTGCAAAGCCAGGGAGGAGTAGTAAGTGAAGCACTTCCCACACTCCTAGCAGTGATGTGCTTTCTCCCCTCTGTGGATAAGTTGGTGCCGGACCAGCCTAGAGGAGCGACTGAAGCTCTTAAGACACTCCAAGCACTGATGTGGCTTCTCTCCTGTGTGGATATGCTTGTGCTGAGCCAGGGTGGACGGGTCAGTGAAGCTCTTCCCACACTCCAAGCATCCATGTGGCTTCTCCCCCTTATGAATGAGCTGGTGCTGGGCCAGTCTGGAGGACTGGGTGAAGCTCTTCCCACACTCTGAGCATTGATGTGGCTTCTTCCCTGTGTGGATGAGCTGGTGCCGGACCAGGTCGGATGAGTACGTGAAGCTCTTCCAACACTCTGAGCATTGATGTGGTTTCTCACCTGTATGGATACACTGGTGCTCAGCCAGGCTGAAGGAGTGAGTGAAGCTCCTCCCGCACTCCAAGCACTGATACTGCTTCTCTCCTGTGTGGATATGCTGGTGCTCAGCCAGGCTGGAGGAGCGAGCAAAGCTCTTCCCACACTCTGAGCATTGATGTGGCTTCTCCCCGTTGTGGAAATGCTGGTGCTGAGCCAGCCCAGAGGAGCGAGCGAAGCTCTTCCCACACTTGCAGCACTGATGTGGCTTCTTCCCAGAGTGGATGAGCTGGTGCTGGGTCAGGTGGAAGGAATAAGTGAAGCTGTTTCCACATTCTGAGCACTGATATGGCTTCTCCCCTGTGTGGATACGCTGGTGCCGAGCCAGCTTGGAGGAGTGAGTGAAGCTCTTCCCACACTCCAAGCACTGATGTGGCTTCTCCCCCATGTGGATAAGCTGGTGCTGGGCCAGTTTGGAGGACTGGGTGAAGCTCTTCCCACACTCCGAGCACTTATGCAGCTTCTCCCCAGCTCTGCCCCTGTACTTAGCAGTGAGATCCCACTCCCCTCTGAGTCCCTTCCCAATGCCTTGGCTGGGATGCAGCGCATCTTTCCACTGGCTCTTGAGGTCTCTTGGCTCCACAAAATCTTTCTTAGGTCTCTCAGCTCCACAGATTCTTCCCTGCAGCCAGGGCTCTTTCTGGGTTCTGCCCCTTCTCCACTGTCATGCCCAATTGGAGATGATACCTGCTTCACTGCTATGTTCTCCTTCAGCTTTTGGGGCCTCCCCTGACTCATGTGCCATTGCTGCTCCTCAGATCTCAGGAAGTCCATTTCATGCAAACTTCCTGTGGAAGTCCATAGCGGCTCCAGGTCTGCAGGCCCTTTTGTAGGAGCCTGCTCCTCAGTCCTGCTCAGCAGCCAGGCATCTCCTGCACGAGGAAGAGAAACTCCAGATTAGTTCCTACTCTGATGGCAAAGGGCAAACACTGCTATTCCTTCTGCTGCAATGGGCCTCAGAGCACAACTGGACCTTGGCACTTTTGTTCCCTCAAGAAAACAAGGTCTTTCTGCCAAAACACCAAGTGCTGGAGCTGAGGGAGGGGCAGGTCCCTGTGCTGGGCTAATGTTTCCCACTTGGCAGCATTCAGAGCAGGACTCTCAAGAGTTTCTGGCCCAGCTGTCAGCCCCATCACCTCAGGCCCTGCTAGGAGAAGCACATGTGGGACATGTGCATTAAGACAGTACCTGTATGGCTTCATGCTCTAATGAGCTAAGTAGAAGGGAAGGACTTAGAGCTGCGGCCCTCTCTTCTTTAAGAAGCAGAGCTATGCTTCCTGCCTCTTTCTAGGGCTAGGTCTGGTGCAGGGAACGAGCTCATAGAGCTTTTCTTTGCTGACAGGTGCCAGGTGGGCTCCATGACATAGGAGTCTGCACCAGGTCTAAGGCCTTGGTATGAACCTGAACCTGGACTCTGTGCTGAGTCTCAGGCTCTGTGACACTCAGGGCTGCAGAGACTAAACAGGAAGGGAGTAATTCTGGTGAAAACCATGGGGTATTCACTTCCTCACACAATTTGTAAGTTTCTGAATCCCACTCGTGCCATGGAGCCATTTAATGCAGCCTGAGACCTTGATGAACAGGGATCTGGGTTTTTCATTTCCCATGGGGAGATGGAGAAAACTACAGACTTCCCATTTTTAATCAGAGAAGCCCACAGATTTCCTGCTTTTGCAAAGAGCTCTGCAGGGTGGCAGAATTCCAGCCTACAAGAGCTGATTGCAGGAAGGGCGGGAAACCCCAACCCTGCCCAAAGTGGGAGGGGGAGGCAGATGGAGAGGGGGAAGGGCAGGGTCTGAGGCTCAGTCAGTCCCAAGGCTTACCTCAGGCTCACTTTCCTTCTGGAGTCTCTAAGGGTAGGTAAGTGGGGCTTGCAGGGAGCTGGGGGGTTGCGAAGCAGGGCTGGTGGGGAAGCTGGCTGGGGGCTGAGCTGGGTGGGTAGGAAACTGGCTGGGGGGATCTGGTGGGGACTCATGGAGTGGGGAGGTATTGGGGGAAGATGTGGAGTGGCCGCCCAGCCAATGGCACATGGAGCTGCTGAGCCTGGTCAGGCCGATAGTGATGCTTGCAGTCCACATGCATCTGGCTGGGTGCTCCATGTCTTTCACTCAGGGGGCACGGGAGGACCCACGCCCTCAGATTAACCTAACCAGAAGAAGAAGAGCCACAGCTTCGCCCTGGTCCTACAGTAATGGCAGAGCTTCCGCATACCGTGCTGACTTCCATGGAGGATTACAAAACCCATCATGCCCTGGGACAGCATGTTAGAAGGGAATGGCTGCCTTGGACTGGGGAATGAATTCTTACATTGCTGAGTGAAGATGGAAACTTAAGATCACAGTATTCGAGGAAGACCAGATCTGAGTAAAAAAAAAATCGAGATACCTAACCTGATTGTTAGGCCTGTGTGAAGCGGCTAGTATTTGCTTTGGATTCGGCTGATTCGGGGGACAGTGATTTGATTCAGTGATTCGAATCACTATCCTTATTCAATTTGGCTGAATCTGATTCGGAGATTTGGCAGTAGTCGAATCTCCGAATCAGCCAGGTCAGGCCCATCCCCAACCCCTCTCCAAGCCTGGCAATGGCAGCCCTGCCTGCCCCAGCTCCCAGCACTTGGGGGAAAAAAAGCCCCAGCTCAGCAGGTGCTGCTGGGCAAGGGGGGCAATCCCCACTGCCACCAACCCCGCCATGGGTGCCCTGCATGGGCCAGCTCCAGCCCTTAAAGGTAAAAAAAAACCTGAAGAAACCCCAGGACTCACCGCTTCTGCTGGCGGAGGGTAATCTCTGCTACCCCCTGCTACGTGGGGGGCACTGCATGAGCCCCCGAAGCCCTGAGGCTACACCAGGAGCAGTGAGTCCTGGGACTTTTCTTGGCATTTCTTCTTTTCTTAAAGGGCCAGAGCCCCAAGCGTGGGGCAGTGGGGAATCGCTCCCCTGCCTGGCAGCACCCGGTGATCACTGGGGCTTTTTTTTAAAGTACCGGGAGCTGGGGTAGGTGGGCACAGCCGTGGCGGGGGGGGCTGGGGGAGCAGGCAGGGATTGGGGGGTTTGGCAGGGGTCCCTCCTGCCCCTAGGACATACCAGCTCGGAGTGGCTGCAGCTCCCTGCTGCAGCCACCGGGGACTGTCCGAATCATCAAAGCTCTCTGAATTTTTGCCAAAGATTTGGAGAGCTCTGAATCGATTCAATTCGATTCGATTCAGAGATCTGGCCACTGAATTGGGCCAAATCTCATCCGAATTGAATCACCACCTGAAGCTTCGCACAGCCCTACTGATTGTATCCTAATGTCTGTCATTAGAGGGGGAAAAAGGGAACAGTTGCTTGCCTGCACATCACTGAATTTCATGGAGTGGGAACAACACCTGCCTGGACACTTTACAGCATAATGTACTGTATTTGAGGTCAGTACTCTGCAATGGCAGCACAGGGCAGGGCTGCAGTTTCCTAGTCCCCCTTGCACTCTTGGCATGGAGCATTTCTGAGAGGGGAGCCAGGTGGAAGGTACAGCCAAAACTCACCTGGCAACAGATCCTCCAACTTTGAGAGTTCCCCACAGTCCTCATCATCACAGACCCAGAGTTCCACCTGTCCTTGCTGGATGCTGCATATTAAGTCAGGTGTGGGACCTCGATATCCTGTTTGGAACAGGAGGCCAATTTTATAACAACTGTAGTTGCAACTTAAACAATCATCCCATTCTATGGGAGGATCATCCCAGAAGGGGATGGAGTCCACACATTGGCAAATAGTGCAGGGTTTAAACCAAAATTCCTGGGACTCATGGATATGGACAAAAGAAGGCAGAAGGACAGACATTTCACAGCATGTGAAAGGCCATGTTGTAGAAATGATCCATATGGTCTTTGCTGAGCTAGAGAACGCATTTGAACATTTCCCTAAAGAAATCCTCTGGGGGAAATGGAGGGAAAAGAAAGCATCAGAAAAGCAAACTGACCTCAACCCTGTGCACAAGCCCTTGTATCCTCTGGAAAGGAAAATTGGTTTTCGCTAGGACCTGCACCTAACCCACTTCTTTTGATCTCAGTGATGGGCGTCTGATCTGCAGATGGATTTTATGAGGAGGAGAAGAAAACTTTTGAGAATGGCAGGGAGAGCGCGAGAGCACACTTCTAATGGTAAATACAGCAAAGCCAGAGTCTCTGGTCTATGAAGATGAAGGGACGAATGTGGACAGATGCCTCCAGTGCCCCCTTGATAAAAGTACCTGAGTTATATCACGTGTACGTATGCCACTAGAGGAAGAGTTGAGGAAATGCATCATCCACATGTAGCAGCAGAGGCAGGTAAGACTTCTCTTAACTTGTGCTGGGTCATAACCAGGGATCCTGGTTTTCTCCGATTAAAAATTGCAAATTCTCTGATTAAAAACCCAAAATCCATCATGAAAATTAAAGGCCTCCCACAGAGCTGCTGGTGCCCCACACTCCCCCCCAACAGCCCTCCGGATGCCCCTCACAACAGCCCCCAGACCTGCAGACACGCAGGCACAGACATGCAGACAGAGGCACACACAGACACTGACACCCACCCCAGCAGGTAAGTGTGTGTGGGGGGAAGGGGCAGGGCAGGGCAGGGGAAGGGAAGATGCTGGGGGGTAGATCAAGAAGGTGCCTCTGTGCCTGCTCCCAGGAGCACGGCCAGGGGGTGAAGGTAGGAGTGTCTCTCTGCGGGCCGCACACGTGCCGGCCAGCCTGACAGGGGGTTCACACATGGATGCTGCCACTGCAACTCTGCCACTGCACCCTGTGCTACCATCCCACGGCCACCCGCATGGCTTTGTGGGCAAGTGGTGCGGGGCGCAGCAGCACGGTGGCAGCCACCATGTGTGGGCCACATATGTGCCACCTGACTGGGGGGTGGATGGGGGGACTTGCATGCAGTGGCCACCACTGCTTATGCCCCACAATCGGCTGCACAGCTCTGCGGTGGTGTGGGGTGGTGGTGGCTGTGTGCTGGCTGGGGGGTGGGCTTTGCGGGCAAGCGCTGCCACTGCAGA